GACAGGATACAAATGGACAAGTAATAATAGGTTTATTCCAGGCTGAAAAGAGAAGAAAGAAAACACTACGTTTCAGCCGTGGAGCCTTGTTCAGGCGTGTGTCTTCAGGTTTCAGGAATATGTTGAAAACTTATATAAGCATGAAGTATGTAAAAATGACATTCAAATAAACAAAACCTCTCAGTATCATTCAGTGAAAAGCTTTTTATTGAAGGTAAATGTCATGTAAAATGTAATTTTAGCTCCTCTCATATAATAGCAGAAATACATTTGCTTATTACTCTCCAGTACCTGTTAGAAAGACTAGGTTGTGATTGGACCTGGCTGCCTCTAACCCAAGGGAGTATAGAAGAGACAGGGATTACCTATGGATAGTATAGTAAATCATCATTCCAGATCTTCAATGATGCCTGACACTATACGTGGTAAAATACAGTCTATCACAGGAGTTCCAAATTTAGCTCATGCGGTGTGCTTTAGCAGGTATTTTAGATATCTTATTAGACCTTATTAATATTTATTCAAGACTATGCTGTAGTTGGAAAGTTATCTACTAAGAAACCTTTTTCCAGTTTTCCAGTGTTGGGCACAGCTAATATAAAATTCTTAGATATTTGTTTATAAATTAAAAGGTGTATTAACTCATATACAATACATGTAGTTATAAATTGGCTCCTTAGATTAAATATATCTGCAAAAAAGAAAACTAAGATTTGGCATACCTGAGTAATCAGTTTACAGTTTGAAAGACACACTTGCTGTATGCATATACAATAGAACAAGTAATAGGTTTATTCCATGCTGAATAAATATTTTCAGCATGGAATAAACCTACTACTTGTTTCTTTGCAGCCTACACATGCTGACGCAGCTACCCACTTGAAGTACTTCAACCTACATATATAGTAGTACTTGAAAGAAAAGATGAATGCTTTATGATTCTGTGGTCGAAACTGTCCAGAGCAGTGTGTTTGCAAGCGACACATCAGGAGCATGAATGTATTAGCAAGTCCAAGGAGTAATTTGTAGGAATCAATTTATAGATTACATTTGTGTAATGATCCTTTCAGAAGGGTAAACCTGGCCATTGGAAAGCCATTAACAGTATGAAGCAGCATTACCACTGACTCCAGTAAGTATCACTTTCTAGCCTGATCTCAGGCTTGATCATTACTGGAATGTGAAATTTCTAAGCAACCAGAATGCTGTTGTAAGGTGCTTGCCCCTCTGCTCCAGAATTTCTAAGACAATGCCCCAGTATGATGACTGTGCTATATGAAACACCACGCTTTGGATGAGGTCTGCCTGGTCATTGAATGGGTCATGGTACTATCTATAAGAGCAGGGATGGTAAATTTAGTTATTTTGCTTATTGCTGCTCTGGGTTTGCACAATCTGGACTCCCTGAAATTCCCCTTAGATTCAACTGGCTAAGACGTTTCTCTGTGCTTGTCCATCTGGTCTACTGGTTTATAATGGCTGCAACACACCACAAGAATTAAACATATTTTCTAGCCAAAAGTGTACTATTCAGAGTGTGCAAAAATGTACACTAGACACATATTTTCCCACCTCCCTGCCTGCATCTGATGACTGAATTACTTTTTGTGAATTATTATCACTTCATATGTGAAATACACATGACCTTCTGTTTGATTCCCACTGGTGGCTCAACATGATTTCCTTTTCTTCCAAAGAACATTTTCATGGTCCTCCTTCTTATCTCTTGCAATTTCACTCCATAGATGATAGGATTTAAAACAGGAGGAAGCAACACACAATCTATAGATGCTAAAATTCGTAAAATATGAGGCACATTTGTTAAATCAACACGATGCTGAATAACTTCAAAAAATGCAGCAATGCTGTAGTTTGTGAAGCTCAGTAAATGAGGGGTGCAGGTCTGTAGAGCTTTAGCACGAGCTTCCTTTGTAGATTTCAAACACACTGCCAGGATTCTGACATAAGAGTACAAAACAACAAGAAACGGTACACATATAAGAAGACTTATGACAATCAAACCGAAGGCACTATTAATAGACACATCTGAACATGATAACCTGACAACTGACCAGTTATCACAATAGACTTTTTCTATTATAAACCCACAGAGAGGCAACCGAATAGTTAGAATTAGATGTATAAGCATAATAAGAATGGGGTACATATATACAAACACTAAAAGCTGAATGATCTTTGACGGGGTCATAATGCTGTTGTACATAAGTGGATGACATATGGACAAATATCGGTCATACGCCATCAGGGCCAAAACCGAATATTCGAAGGATGCATATGTGTGCATAAAAAATACCTGCGTCAAACAGCCAGCTCTAGATATGGAGGGTGTTTCTGACAAGAGGTTAGTTAAGATATTAGGATAAAATGCTGTGCTACCATACAGCCCATTCAGGGACAAGTTACAAATGAATATATACATGGGTTCATGGAGTTTTCTTTCTCTTATAATTACTGATATAAGAACAATATTTAAAAAAAATATCAGAAGATAACCCAACAGTGTGGCAGTGAAATACAAATACCTAAAATGTCCTATGCCTTCATAAGTAGTAAAAATAAACATTGTCACTAGGGTTGAATTCTGCATTGTAAGTATCCCTTTTTTAATGTGCCAAGAAAATCAAGTACATGAATTATTAGTTATAATTAAATATACAGCTCAAATACCTAGTCACTTAATAAAGTAACTTTTACACAGAAAGTTTTTAGTTGTTAAAGTTTTACGTATTGCCTAGATTGATATGTATGCCTTGAGTATTTTATTTGATCAAATACATTAGATTTGTTTACGGTCTGAAGCAATCAGGGGAAAGAATGATAATTACATTTGTAATATTTGCCCTCAAGCCAGTTTTCATCTACTGTAGGGTTACGTCTTTAGCACAGTTTTCTATTCAGGCAGGATAGTCTAGTATTTACCTGTTAAGAGTAAATTATGCAATAGGCAGCACATACTAATTGTAGCTCCTCTGCGTTACTGGCAGTTTCTTATGCTAGGCCTCAGAGCTGATCACACAAAACTCTCAGGTTCAATCAGTGAAAGCGTTCTTTCAGAATACTTGATGAGCCCTAGTGCTCAGACATAATGGGTTCAGGGTGATGTCGCTGGCCACAGCTGACTGAGCTCCTCAGGCTGCAAGAAACAACTGGCCTCTCTCGCCGGCGTTCCGTGAGCATCAGCTGGTCATGGAATTGTCAGCTCTGGCAGAAACAATAACTCTTGCAGCTCCCCAGGTGCTTATAGGTTGGAGGAGACATCAGTGAGATGTGCCTCTCCTCTCCAGGCACCATTAAACCTGCAAGAAAATAACAGAGACTACTGTATGTATAAAATACCACATGGCTGTATCAGCGAGGTATATTGGAAGAGCATGTGTGTTGGTCCTCATTGTCTCCATGCAGTACAGCAGTTGTAGCCGTAAGCCATTTCTCACAATGTCTGGGATGTATTAGAATTTAATACACTGATCATAAGCATTTGAAACAAGGATGTTCGGATAGGAAATTGCCATGAAAACTTTTTCTTGAAAACTTCTGACAAATAAAAACTCTATTAGTAGAAGCGCTAAGTTGCATTTGTTATGAATAATAAAATTGTTCATCTAAGAGAACAAAGAATGATGAATGATGACGGATCTGAGAGTGAACTCCTCAGATTTAATAGGTGATGAAGTCATGGTCGTGGAGCTCTGTCTTCATTCCTCTGTATCCCTGTGTGTCAATCACAGCAGTTATAATGTTGCTTTCTGGTTTGCAAAACCACAGATCATTTCAATATATTTTACTTAAAAGGGTATAGACAAAATATGCAGACATCGTTTGATATGTATTAGCTTAAATAAACTAAATTTAACTTACTGATTTTAATACACCTTAAAGAAAATAAACATCTTTTATGATTTAGGCATTCTCTGTTCTGGACATTAGGTCTTCCTGCCTAAAAGAATAAGAGCCATTAACAGGGGGATATAAAATATATTAGTAAAGTACATTACTATTTAGTTCTGTGGGATTTTCCAAAGTAATGCTGTGGAGCTCTATTGAACAGAGAATTAGAGCTCATTTTATTATCCTCCTAAACACTTAACACCATGAAGTACATTGGATAAAAATGTAAATACTGTATGTGAATACCTGTTGTGTTCCATGTCAAGCTTTGTTTAAACAACTACTGTATATAGCACATACAATATATCTTAAAGAGTTATGGATAGATTTTCAAACATCACATTAAAAATATGTAATGATAATTATACACTGTGCATTATTATACTAATGTAGTATCTATACAGATCTATAGTTTGTTTTCAGCATCACTCCTGATTGCAAATGTCTTACATACCTGAAAAGTCCTGTCATGAATAGTGCTGCCAATACCACCTTCTTCTGTGATTTACTGTTGGAAAAATTGTTCCCAGCTTCCCATTAAAAGACAGTCAGGAGTCTGTCTCAGAAGTTAAAAGAAGTTTTTATTTCATGCGCATAGGAGCGAAACACACAGATATGCTCGGTGTATTTTAATACTGTATCCTCTTGCTTGGGGAATTTATTAGTTTGCTCTATTCTAGTGATTCCCAGGCGTGAAGATGTTAATTGGAGCTAAATTTAACAATTTCAGGTACAGACATTTGAAACAAACAAAACAAAAAATGTTACAGTAAAGCTGGGACTGTCCCTTTGGGGCCTAAGGCCGGATCAATTGACAGATCTCCAACTGCTTTGCAACACTAAGTGACACAGGAACACCATGGTATGGTAAACACTATATCAGAATTTAAAGTGTCATTGATATACAGATTCTTTTGTTGAGTGCACATAGCAGTTAATACATTAGGACCACAGTAAAATCTTTATTAAAGTGAAAAATAGTATGGTACTTTAGTTAAATTAGATTCTCTCAGGCAGAACTGACTCATACAGTACCTGCACTTTTTCCCTTTACACCTCATGTTTTATCCTATAAATGTACTGTAGTTTATACGTGTCTGTGGGACATCCCAGACCATCCCAGAATAAATTATACAAATGAGTCAACATAATGACGAAGCAAGATTCAGTCATATTAAAGGCATGGAAAACTTTTTATTTTCCTATTTTCTTTTTATTTAAAAAGTTAAGAGTATATACTGTACAAAACAACATTTATTAAATCCCATCTGTCACATGTTTTTTTCAAAGTTTATGAGTTTACACCAGTCAGTTAACTCCTGTCCCAGACGTAACCTAGAAGTTTATTTTTGCTGCTTGTTTAAACCCCAGTTAACCTCATTCTAAGGGATCCAAATCTTACTTAGTCTCTGACACAAGAAACGGCAGACACAAATGGAATTGATGTTTTGTACAGTTTCACATGGTCAGAGGAAACAGCAGTTAACCCAGACTATAAGGAGGTTCGGGAGTGTTGTAAAAGGGGTGTTTGGTGTTTCATTTCTGGGTGGAAATGGGAAATGTGCAAAAAGGGACCTCCAGAGTGCTTTGTGAACAGCTGTACTGTATATGCAAATAAATACATGCAAATAAATAACACTTGATCCAAGAAATTAAAACACAAGTTATTAATTAGCCGAACACAAATAACTTTAATTTAAACGTTAACTTTTTTATCATTAGTGTTTTAGTAGTAACAGATACCATACCCCATCTTATTAATGTAATTGACAGATCATAAAGCTTCTGTTTGTCTTATCCAATAAATGATCTAGCTTAGACCACAGACTGAATCTCATCAGCCAGACATTTAAGCTGGATCATGCGGCAGTGAGACAGGGTTTCTTCAAGTGGCAATGCTCAATTGGCACAGTCCTTCCAGAGCACTTACAATAAGAAGCAGTGGAGGACATCAATTTAAAATTTTGCATTTCACACAATATTTTTATTTTATATAAATGTTTTGGATTTTACTAATTTTAATGTGGGACAGTGATATCTGCTTGTGTGAGATAGGTATTAAAATATATAAAATATTGGTTTGCAATAATACATTTATGTACAGTATATTAAAGTTTTTATTTCCACATTTTCAAAAACACCCCCTGGATTTTTTTTTTATATATGATAAAAATATACAGTAAGGTGACATACAGTAGTGTCAGCTTCAAAGGAACATTTATATATTGTAGAACTAGAACACATTACTAGTAAAAATGTCCAAGAATAATCCTTTGTGAAGGCAACATATTTTAATAATATGTTATTATTTAAATATATAATATTTTAATTTGACTGATCTAAAATTTGTTTAGATCAGTCGGATTGAAGTGTACTCCTGACTGTACCTGGGTATAAGAGCCAGGACATAAATTTGTGGAGATGCACAAAAATATTTTTGTCTTATATTTACACTTCAACACAATTTGGTTTTGTACTAAAGAATGTTCTTCTGATCCTTTTCCTGATTTCCTGCATTTTAACACCATAGATGATGGGATTTAAAAGAGGAGGCAACAAAATAAAATCTACTGACATGATAATTCGTGAAATAGGAGATGTATTACTTAGGTCAAAACGATGTTGGACAACTTCAAAAAAAGCGGCAATGTTGTAGTTCACAAAAGCCAGTAAATGAGGGGTGCAGGTTTCTAAAGCTTTAGATCGAGCTTCCTTTGAAGTTTTCACGCACACTGCCAGGATCCTGATGTAAGAGTACAAAACAACAAATATTGGTGTAATCATGACAACTGCTATAAAACATAGGCCAAAGACATTATTAACAGAGGCATCTACACATGAAAGTCTGACAACTGACCAGTTGTCACAAAACACCTTAGTAATGATAAATCCACATAATGGCAATCGAATGGTTAAAGAAATGTGTATACAAAAAAAACAGATAGGATAAATAAACACGAAAACCAAAAACTGAACCATCTTTGATGGGGTCATAATACTGTTATATATCAATGGGTGACATATGGATAAATATCTGTCATATGCCATCAGAGCCAAAATTGAATATTCAAAGCATCCATATGTGTGAAGGCAAAATATTTGAATGAAACAGCCAGTTCTGGATATAGCTGGTGTTTCTGACAGGAGATTTGCCATACAGCTAGGATAAAATGCACAGCTACCATATAGTCCATTCAGAGCCAAGCAACAAATAAAAATGTACATGGGTTCATGGAGTTTGTGGTCACTTGCGATGACTGCTATGATGACTAAATTTGCAAATAGTATGAAAAGAAAGCCTAACAAAGTAGATGTAAAATACAAATATCTCATATTGCTATTGTCGCCATATGCAGTAAGAAAGAACATTGTCATGTTGGTTGAGTTTTGCATCTTAATTTTCTTCTACGTGTTTTGAAGGCACCTAGAAAAAAATACATACAGTGTATTAAAATAAATACATGTATTAAATAAATCTGACCGTAACATATTGTGCTTTTTCATTTGAGCTACATCTCTTGCAGTGAGGTGCAGTAAGCCATGTTCTTTGACTGTGTTGTGAGTTGTGTTTTAACATCTTATTAAATTGCACCTCTAATTTTTAACTAAATTTTGTACTGTGCTGAAAAGAAACAAGCTAATTTCACTTTAATGTGCTTGTAAAGCACTTTATTTGTTTTGACTATAAAACTATGAAAGTCCTTTTTGACTCCTTCCATGGAGTTAAATTTATGCCTTTAATCTGTTGTGCTATACTTTGCTCATTTCATCCTCCCCATTCCTGTTATCCAAATACCAAACAGAAAAATCAACATCTGAATGTTAATTATTACATCTATGTGACATACTCTCTGTTCTGTCTTCTCTTTTGAGTTTTTAAACTATCACAGTACACATTCTTTTTAAAGCTTACTTTTATCAAGCTTGCTTACTTGCTTACTTTTATCATAAAATCTGCTTTTGTGGTATGGGACATGCATCACTAAGTTAAATTAATTGTATTATTGTGGATTGCAATATTTTGTATTTTGGTAAATTAAATCAATAATATCTGTCATATTAATTCCAAGGTCTTAGAATATAAATTTATGAAATTCTGCACTAAATACAAATTTTATTATATATAAAAGCTGTATTACAGAAAAATATTCTGTAATATACAAGAACACGTTTAGCTGTAGCAGATTTTACTGAATAGTCTAAAAATTTAACACACAGATAATGTCAGTTTTCAATAAGACTGGATTTGCAACTGTCACATACCTTCCAAAATCTTCGTTTGTTCTGCTATGACAATAACTATGACCTTTTCTTCTCTGCTTTATATTGTTTCCCCCCTGTTTGGGGAATATTACATCATGTGCTGCTCTCAAACGTCCTGCGGGAAATCAAAATAATTGGTGTTTAATCATAGATCATTTTCTAAACAAGAAAAATGAGGCAAAAGTAAACTGGACACAGGTGACGCCACAGGAATCATTCATGAGCTTTTGTGAGTTGAATAACAGGCAAGGTTATTTACACTTCTCTATTTACTCATTCAAAGTCACTTTTTCACTATGTGACTCTCAACAGGACAGTACTATAACACCCCTGCAGATGGACTGAAGGTTAAGATTCAGTGTTACATGTCAGTGAAGCCCAACAATATGGGAGCCTGAACAGAAGTCATCTGAGTGCATGCTGAGCTATAACGCCCAGCTGTCACACATTTTAGCCTGGAGTAAACTGTAATTGGGATTCCAAAGGCAGCTGTGCACAATTGGCAGAGATAGGGACTGGATTAGTCAGACAAGTCACTTGATGGAAGGGTACATTATTACCATAAGAGTGGTTCCATGAAAATAATTACAATCATTAACTCTTGTTAAATCCCATGTACTTATCATGTGCTGAGCACCTATACTATACTATAACTATCCAGTAAGACCTTGCTACATCACCCAGCCCCACTCTCTTCTTCTCACAAGGCTGTTGGTATTGGACAATAAACACACAGAAGAGTGGGAATGACATAGTTTCACTAGCCTTAAAAAGAAATGGTCACACCAGTCAGCAAAAAGAAAACCACTGGCCCACACAGTGAAGGTGGAGGGTCCTGACTAACAGAGGCCAGGTAGGTCAGGGTGGGAACCCAAGACCACAGACCAGGGACAGCCACACACGTACACATGCATAACACATACTGTACAGTACATAAACCTCTGTCCTTCCCCCCAAGTCCCAAGAGTTACCAATGTCCTTGATAGTTCCCATCTATCCCAGGAAGCTCACCTGGGGCGGACATTGTCACGTTCATAAACCCCTCCTCTTAAGGATGCTCCAGCCCTTCCTTGTTTTTTACTAATCTCCCGAACCTGCTCCCTGTTCCAGCCCCCTTTTCAGTTCACCTTAAAAGCCAGACGCTCACTCTGTTCCTGTCTCTGCTTTGGTTTCCGTACCAGGTGAGTCCGGGACCTGGAAGCGCCTGGTCCCGTCAAGTTTTTAGTTCCAGTTCCCGTGCCGGTCCCGACCCGGTTCCTGTTTTGAATCCGTTTGTCTTGGTTGGACCACCTGGCTTTGGACTTTTGCCTCGTCTCAGATTTCCCCTTGGACTTACTTCTGGACTGTTTGCCTCGGCCACACCTCCCCCGAACACCAGCACACCATGGACACACCCCCTGTTTTCGTTCCTGACTCCCGCATGCTTTCTTCCCCGTGTTTTCCTCACTCTACCCTGGACTGTGCTAAAAGAATGCTGTCGTTACAGACATCACCCCATCGCTGCCTGTGCCACCAGGCCTGCCTGGAATAATTGTGACAGATATTTAGGATCCTTATTAAGGAATAAAAAATCAGGGCCTATAAGGGAAACATACTGTAAATGAGCAATCTCTCCGATGTTATCAAAACCTTTAAAGGCTTCTTTACATTTGCATTACTATATAAATACCAGCAGAGACTGATTTGGAAAGCAGATGTTAATCTGTCAGTCAGACCGACAGCTCCTTGCAGCAGGGGGTTATATAAATACTTTACTACAGTATTATTTTACTGTTAGTAACACTTTACTATTAGTGACAATTTAATGGAGCAACTTGGGTAAGAAACTTTGCTCAAGGGTATAACTGCAGTGTCCCACCTGGCCTTCAATATCACAAACCTATAGTCAAGAGGCTAGAACCAGCAACAGCCTTAGACGTAAAGACAGGATTTTGATTTTGGAGTTTCAGACAATTTAATTTGATGTCTGTCCAACTACCATCCAATCACAAGCACCACTACCACTCTGTGTGCTTATGTTTTGTTTAACTCCAAAACTACAGGACATGAAGTAGAAGACTAGATAAACGCCCATGCATCTGTATGCAATTCAAACCCAATGGGCACAAAATGATGTGGGAAGTGGCAATTAACTAGATAAACCAGCTAGGTATGCTGTTAGTTACATTAGAGGAATGGAGGTGGTTTTCGGAAAACAAACCCATTGGATGAACAATGAGAATATCAATATGAATTTGCTTAAATTAAAATGAATACGACCATCATTAAAACACACATTATTTTAGTTCATGGCAATGCTATAGTTCATTTTTCAGGGATGCCAGAATTACAAAATATATTATTGTTTAGTGTGGCACAGTTGTTAACATTGCTGCCTGGCATGCTGGGGCCCTGGGTTCAGTTTTGGACCTACAGTGCTACTTACAGTATATGGAGTTTTATGTTCTCACCATGGTCACCTAGTTTCTTCCGACAATACAAAGACAAGCTGGTACCTGTAGTTTAATTGGCTTCTAGGAAAACTGGCCCTGGAGTGAGTGTGTGTTTTTGTTTCTGTGTGTACGATGAGATGGATTGGCGTCCCATCCAGGGTGTATCCCGGCTTGCACCCTTTGCTTGCCAAGACAGACTCCAGCTCCCCTGTGACCCTGAATTGAATCTTTTAGAAAATATATGGATGAATTATAAACGTTTATAGGAAATTCAACATTTATGGCCATTTCATAGACATGTGCAATGTAGTGACTTTCATTTCAATTCAATAAATCCTTTTCTCTACAATTATTGCCTTACTTATATTTATTTACTGTACAAGCTTTATAAAAATTACAAGCATACTATTAACTCTATACAGTTCTTTGTTTTTCAGTGCTAGAAACTGCAGTGCACAACATTAAAGAATGCACCAAAGGCATCCATAGTCCTTTTATCTTCTTCTTCTTGGAAACAATTATACAATATATATTTCATCAGACATTTAAAAAATGAAGCCCACCTTACTTTCAAAATGTTTTTTTTAATGTAGTTGTGACCAGTGCTTGCAATAATGATCATTTGTAAATTTCTGCTTCACATTTGGGAAAAGCAAGTACAGTGAAATCCCTTGGTAGTTTATCTGGAAGGCATGGCGGGAAAAATACCCTTTTGACTCTCCTTAAGAAACCTTTTTAATGATGGTTTTAAATTCATGTCCTATTAAGAAAATATATCATACGTAGAAGGTGTCTTCTTTCAACCTGTGTTTCCTCCAGAACATGGTGAAACACAAGGCTTTAATGTTATAAAAACTTTAAGTGCAAATGCCTTTAAGCTAAATAATCACTTGTGTTTATTGGCAGGATTTTTTTATTGTACAGAAGCAAAGGCTTCACACTATTAAACAGTGCTGTCATAATGCCACTGAGAAACTACAAGTTGGTTTAATACATTTCATAACCTTGCAAAACTGTAACATGTAGATGTAGAAAATAATTTATATTTATATCACTTTAGCACAGGAATTTGAGGATGTAAGTTTTTATTTATTATTCACAAAACCAGAAATTTGGCTGTGAAAGAATCTGTTTTTAAATCTCCTTTGTAATGCTTACAGCACACCATAAAATCCAGGTGTGGGGTATCACATTGCTGTGTAACACTGTGCCAAACCTGGTATAATATTTAATATTTTAATAATAGTGTGTATGTATTTCTTTGCTTAAAAAAGCTATTTTTGTTTTTAAAGTTAAACATTAAGTACAAGTACACAAGGGGACAGAAGGTCGAATTACAATTAAGAGAAAAAATGGTAAAATAATGGTAAAATTAAAATAACAGTACAGTAAGGATAGACAGTGTGTCAGAAGGGCTATACAAAAACAAATTAAGAAGTAAATACGTGCATTAGAGCAGTAAAGCTATACAAAGTTTAATAACATCTATAACAGGAGTTCAAACTCTGCAGTTGCTAACAAAGCAATCTCATTCCCTTATCCGCTTTACCACAGTCTCTGTCTGTCTGTGACTAGAAGGGGAGTGTGAAATATTGCAGTCATAAACAGTGTTAAGGAACTGTGACTTCTGACAGACAGACTTTTTTGTTTGAAAAATCTTCCGTCCAAATGTAACAGCGTTTTCATGGTAAAGGGTGCCCCAGCTCACCTGATCTGTGAAATGTCCAAGTGCCCCCACCCTAACATAACCAAACATTCTCATTTCATATGTGAAAGCCATGTTATCTTCTGCTTGTTTTCTCTAGGTGCTTCAAAGGAATTCGGTTTCCTTCCAACAAACATTCTTATAGTCCTTTTCTTTATCTCCTGCATTTTAACTCCATAGATGATGGGATTTAAAAGAGGGGGAAGCAACAGAAAATCTATTGACATAATAATTCTCAGGACATGGGGCATATTGCTTAGATCGAAACGGTAGTGCACAACTTCGAAAAAAGTGGCGACACTGTAGTTCATGAAAGTCAGTAAATGAGGGGTGCAAGTTTCTAGAGCTTTAGATCGAGCTTCCTTTGAAGCTTTCAGGCACACTGTCAGGATCCTGATGTAGGAGTAGAAAATCACTAGAAATGGGGGAACCATGAGAATAGTTGTAACAAACAGACCAAAAGCACTATTAACAGACACATCAATGCATGAAAGCCTGACAACAGACCAGTTGTTGCAGTATAGTTTATCTATTATAAAGCCACATAAAGGTAACCGGATAGTTAAATAAATATGTACAGACAAAATACAAATGGGGTACATATACACAAATACTAACAGCTTAGTCACTTTTGATGGTGTCATGATGCTGTTATACCTTAATGGATGACATATGGACAGATATCGGTCATACGCCATCAGAGCCAATATTGAATATTCAAATGATCCATATGTATGAATGCAAAACACCTGAATCAAGCAGCCAGTTCTAGATATAGATGGCATTTTTGACAAGATGTTAACCATACATACAGGATAGAATGCGGAGCTACCATATAGTCCATTAAAAGCAAGGTTACAAATGAATATATACATTGGCTCATGAAGGCTTCTTTGTGTAGTAATTACAGTTATAAGAACTATGTTCACAAAGACAATCAAGAGAAAAACTAACAGAGTGGACATAAAGTACAAATACTTGATATTGCCGGTTATCTCATAATCAGTAAAATGCAATGTTGTCACAGGAGTTGTGTTCTGCATTGTTATTGTCCCTTGATTTTTCTGAAGGCACCTAGAAATAAATTAAAAAAAGTGTTAAAGATTTTTTTTCCCCATAATACATATTGGAATTTCTTATTAGAAATATTTTTAACTGCCAGCATAAAATATCTTTTATAATTTAAGATGTCTTTTCATGATTTATGAGGTTAAATATCTTACTTAAGTCCTCTAGATCCTTGATCAAAATATGTACAGCATCTTAAAGAAATGTAAATGCACACACTAAATAAGCTTAATAATTTATTTTTAATCTGTATGTTTTTCTTTGTTCATTAATAAATAGTCTTCTTTCTACCTTGCATATTTTACAAATACTTTGTGAATGTACATCACTTATTCACAAATAAGGAACCAGAGAAGGTTGGAAATATGCAGTATGAAACATTTGTCTGTGAATCAATGAATTTTACAGTATGTTCATTCTGTAGTTCAAGCCCTAGTGTGTTTTTTTGTAGATGATCTATCTGGGGCTGAACTGTTATCCACATACTGTGTGTATTAAAACATTTAAAAAAGAGTGGCCTTTTAAAAAAAAAGCAGAATCTGAAGAATCTGAATGAATCTGATCAATCAATATTATCTCTTATCTCTGCTGCTTTGTGCACATACTGTACCTTAAATTCTTGTCATGAACAGTGGTTCTGGATGGGTCTTCACTACAGGAAACACCACCTTCCCCTAGCCTGGGGAATACTGGAGTGTCTTCTGTTTGTAATGATTCCCAAATGGGAGGATGTTAATTGGACTCTGGCTCAGATTCAGACTTCATTAAAAAAAAGGGACATAAACAAAAAAAGACTGAACATCTTTCAAAAGGGAATTAATGAAATATTTTTTAAAAATAAGGACTGAATATAATCAAATACATCTGCTCACACAGCCATACTTTTAAAACAAACAAGATGTCAGCTAGATTTCATTCCATAAAAATAATTTCAGGAGTGAATGAAACAGCTTGATTTAATTTCAGTTTTACAATGCATAGACTTTAAAACAAAAAAGTTCAACAGCTTAGCTTCAGATGACCTAGCTTGTACTTCTATTACTACAACAGCCATTAATAGTAGTATTACTGATACTGTATCGCCACAGGCAATTAAGATGTGAGGTCTCAATGCTTGTGAAAATGTATGGTGGCAAATATTCTGAACATCAGAACAAACTTACCACTATGAATGTATATGTTTTTAGCAAAAACAAAGTGTGAAGATTTCAAATATGGATGAACTGTGGTGTTATTTTAATCATTCAGTTATTACTGACTTAGCGTAATACTCTTGAGTGACACTGACTGTGAACTAATTGCACACAGGTGCTGAAGTGATTTAACGGTTTGAACGTCAAGCCTGATGAGCATAAAGAACCAAAAGAAAAAAGAAAAAAAGAAAATACCCCCACCTATCAAGAAAACAGAGCCTACCTAACAGCAGCATTTAGGAGGATGGACTGAGACAGCAGAATATCAGATACAATGTCACGGCATAAACCGTATAAACTCCAGGTGACAACAACCCATGCATCAACAATTCATTCCTGAGAAAGCAACAGTAGAGCCGTCAATTGCACATCGGTCTGCCACACAAAGGCCCAGTGCTTACCAACACCAATAAGATAAGATCACTTTATTGGCCATATACAATTTCTTGGATTAGGAATTTGTCTTTTCACATACCCCAGCTTGCTCTCCATGAGCCACACAGACAGGGAGAGAAGCTTTGGGGTCAGAGCGCAGGGTCAGCCATTTATACGGCACCCCTGGAGCAGCTGGGGTTAAGGGCCTTGCTCAGGGGCCCAACGGAGTAGGATTCCTCTACCAGCCGCGGGATTTGAGCCAGCAACCTTCAGCCACAGGCACAGATCCTTAGCCACAGAGCCACCACTCTGCCCTTTTGTTTTTTCATTAGATAAGAATGGATCAATGTTCCTTGATGCACCAGAATGTGGTTGCGGAACAAGCACCTCAACTACAGACACTGGCAGGGTTGTGCAGACCATCCTGGTGGACACCAGGGATAGTGACACAGACCTGTAGAATGACACACTACCTATTGATAGGGATGTTCAAGTGTGACCATCTGAGCAGGAGTTCCTATATAACTCCTCGTGTAGTGATTAATGATTATCCCACTACACAGTGCAAGTCTAATCAAGTGCCGGGACCTTTATAGGTACCTTTTCACTGGGATCTTCCACATCAATATTCGGGCAAGACAAAGTGGGCCCTCATGTTTCTCACGTAACAACAACCATACTGAGATAATAATTCCTGATTTGTATACGGCTCCTTCCTGGAAACTCCACTCAACACACTTTACAGCTAAGCTGGATGATGCGATGGCAGCCAAAGTGTTCCAGTATGCTCACCACACATTAGCTATCAGTGGGGAGGAGAGTGATGAATCCAGTTCATAGATGGGTATTTTTAGGAGGCCAATGGGAAATTTGGCCAGGACACGGGGGTAACACCCCTGCAATTTTCAAAAAAACACCCCAGGATTTTTAATAACCACAGAGAGTCTGGACCTTGGTTTTAAGTCATATCCTAAGGATCTCAACTTTTTACAGTGTCGTATCCCCATCACGCAGGATTAAAGCATTCTCCTGGCCCCACTAACACTTCTTCCAGCAGCAACCTTAGTTTTTCCTAGGAGGTCTCCCATCCAGGTACTGGCCAGGCTCACACCTGCTTGGCTACGGTGGATGTGACCCTGGCCAGTACCTGACCTGAGCCCTGATAATCATCTGTGGGAAGAGCCTGGACATCCAGGGCTCTGAGATCACTAAGCAGGCAAATACTTATACAAGCTTCCTGACAGGAATGAGACAGAATCCCATAAGATGACATCTGTAATATCACACATCCTACTAACCTGTGACTATACTGTTGATGAGTTAAGAGTTAATTTAGCTTAATGAAGCTGCGCCTTTCATGTCTTGTGTGCTTAATGAAATATCAGTTCACATATGACAAAATAGATAACTTTGCAATATTTTTGCTGTTTGTATATGTAATTTAGCAGTTTTGTCATGATTTTTATACAGTTGTAGATAGATTTTAGGTTGAATTACCTTTTTCAATTCATTTTCTCTGATGTGTGTTCAAGTCTCAAAAGGTCAAATATAATTTATATTTACTAATAAAGATTAAGGAAAATAAATAATATTACAGATAATATAATAAGCATAGAATTAGCACTTACAAGTTCTTACAGAAATGAACCTGGAAGACTGTAGAGCAGATTAAGTTTCCTTTAAGATGCTTCAGTCCAGGTGAAGTATCAATGTCCTTCTGTGCTTGTTTAGATATCTGCCTCTCTCTGCAGTCTTTTATTTTCTGAATTTGCTCCCAGCATGGTTTCTGGGGATTGGTATCCTAAATTGAAAGAGGTCATGTGTCACATGATTCACATTCACCAATCAGAACATTATTGGGTGCTGTGAGTTTTAATGAATATTTATCTGCTTTTTATCAAAGGTAACATATGCAACTCCTTGAGAGTACTGGGTTTTGGCTGGTTCAGACAATAAAATCCCTTTTTGATAATATTTTTGTATCCTTACCTCATATGTAAATAGACTGAGTAGTGTATAGAGGGGAATATACTGTATGACAGCTTATAGTCATAATATTTGAGAGAAAACTTTAGTTAAATCTGTTGTGGAAAACTGTAATTTCCCCAGGATGTACCAATTAGGAGCAAAGGGAGAAGTGAGTGAATACTGTAGTGTGAGCAGGCCAGGTTATGCAGCAAGCTTGTAGGTGCCAGCATGAGACAGGGGGCGCTGTGGTGGAGGACAACAGGGACAGTGTAGTATTCCCTCACTACTCCAGTTACTTCAGATACCACTTTATCCGTGTTAAAATTCTCACCATGCATTCCAGATGTCGTACATTACTGGAGACCCATTCATTTTTCATGGTTTATCTTAACAAAGGTTATCAAGGTGCAGCGCCGCACCACACAACTCTCTCAAAGACAACTTTACAGCTTTTGATGATATGGAGCAGTTTAATGTGGAACCTTATTTTTCAGCAATTGATGGCTGATTAGTTTTACACTTACTTTTTGTCAGTTGTCATATCCTAAGAACTCTGGTAGATATTACGTAAGAATACAGACACAGAAAAACAGTGGATTATTCCTTTGGCAGTAATAGTACTGAAAAAAGGTTTTTTGTTTTTGTTTTTTTTTATATGACAGCTATCAGTGCCATTTTACTCAGTGTAATAGCTTCTGATTCACTTGTGAATGTTGTAGGTTCGAATCCCAAATGGGATGATGCTGTTAAATGTTTGAGTTATTTTTTCTCACAATTGAAAATACTTCCTTTCATAGTTACTCCACATCCTAACAGGCTGTCCTGCAATGCCATGGCATTCATATAATTAACCCAAATTAGATTTTTAGTAACTAGAGCAGCAGATGCAATTTGATAATCTCCTGATTGTCACCAGTGAACAGCAGTCCCATTGCTCTCTGTAATTATTATACATTTCACACAATTGGCCGATTCACCCTGCTGACTGTGAATGTGAACTCATGTCAAATTTGCATTATGACTTACTGTAAGTGCTCAGAATTATCAGTGCATCAGGTGATATCCATCTTTGTTTTTATTGTATGTGTTTGGTCCACATACAAATATATGTAAAAGTTTGATGTCTGTACAAGTATTCAAAATGAAATAATAAACAAAATAAATTGTTTAACTTTTCAAAGTGACCCAGGTTGTTGTGAAACTATGGGCATGGCAGCACTGCACTGCTTTCAGTTATTCAATAATTTCTTACAAAGCATGGGTCTGTGTTATTTAATATATCTAATGGATTTATAAGACAGCTATTCTCTGTACAAGTGAAAAATCCATTATACTGTCCAAACCTTTTTTAAACAATAGGCAGAATATTCTATTTTATCAACAGGAGTGGAGTCTCACTGGGACTTTCTCAGTTTTTTATCACGGAACAAGAAATAAATATAATTTTTCATTGCTTAGGAGAGGGACATAGAAGATAAAAAAGAGCTGTCTTCCCTAAATTAGAGAACAAATAAGAGGTCAAAGGGCAAAGGACAAAAATAATTCAATGTTTCATCTTAGAGTGCTAATATAATATAGTAAGTGTAGTTCAACTTTTTAAATCTCTAACCTACTGACAAACAAGCAGACCAGGAAATCATTTGTATGGCCCATTACCACACACACTACTGCGTACCACTTGAGAGAACACAGTGGGGGCAAATGTAGAAAAGCAGTTTACAAGCATTTGCATTTTTCACTGATTATCAATGTTCAATCTTTCAAAAGGTTCAGTGTGTGGTTATAAAACGGATTTATTTATTTAGCCCTCATTCAGTTGTGTCTTTAACGCATGGAGCTATTATGCATGGGACTAAAACCTTTTTAACTGTTGTTCTGATTTTTGCAATTCTGATGCCGTAAATAACTGGATTGAGGAGAGGAGGAAATATTATAAAATATATTGATAATATTATTCTCACTATAAATGGGACATGTCTCATATTGAATCTATTTTGAACAATTTCAAAGAGACATCCAACTGAGTAATTTACAAGACAAATGAGATGTGGAGCACAGGTATTCACAGCTTTAACCCTGGATTCCCTAGAAGATTTCACACAAATACTAAGTATTTTTGTGTATGAATATAAAATTAAGGTCAACAGGATACCTGTGTACAGAAATGTACTGATAAGCCCATAAATGTTATTAACAGTGTTATCTATACAAGAAAGCTTGACTAATGAATAGTTGTCGCAATATACTTTCTCTATAATGTTGCCACACAATGGCAGGCACATAGTTAAGGTTATAGTGATGGCAATTCCAATTGTCGAATGCAGCCAAGTTGATACAATAAACGTGCACACTTTCTTAGGAGTCATGATGCTGTTGTATTGTAGTGGGTAACAGATGGAGACATACCTGTCATATGCCATCACAGCTAAAGTTGAAAACTCAGTACTTGCATAGGTGTGCAAGCAGAAAACTTGCACAAGACATGCGACCTTTGCAATTTCTTGTATGTCTGACAAAATGTTGACCAAAAGCGAAGGGAAGAGAGCTGTGCTTCCATACAATTCATTTGCAGACAGAGCACACAAAAAGAAATACATGGGCTCATGCAGGGTCCTCTCCACTGAGATCACGGCTATAAGAAGTGAGTTTGCAACAATAATGCCAACATAAACTACTAGAGTAATGGTGAAGTAGAAGTATCTAATCCGCCCAGTTTCTCCATATGCAGACAATATGAATGAAGTGTTGTGAGATGAGTTCCCCATGGTCCTCAGCTCTGAATCAACTACATGAAAGGGAACAGAAAATATTATATTTATTACATATATTTATAGCAATGGAACAATCTTCTGTAATCTGTGCATTGTTGAAAGTATGGACCAGTTACATTGCATTGCTTACAAAATACATCTATTAACTAACAGCTAATTATATGCATCTTGTATGAGGGATACACATAGTTTTATTACTGTACATTTCACAAACACAAACACAAAATGAAAGGAGAACGTGCTCATACACAGAGGTGTGCAAAAACAAACACTATGCAAAATAATGTATTGTTGAATGATTTTCACTGAAGCCTCCCATGAATATATAACAAGACCTAGAAATGGTTCAATCATAAAACAAATTTCATCCATTGAGCAACTCTAGAGCAACTGATCCATCACATATTGATTAATTCAGTAACTGAAGCTGTTGGTGAACTATCACATTGTTGCTGTAGCAGTTTAAAATTTCCATCACACTGTGCTGTTTCTATGAGGCAAAACAGATATTCACATCTTTCACTGTGCACATTGACAAAGTTGTAAAGATAATGCAACAATTGTACAAAAAACCTTTTGTCCCTGAAAGCTTTTCATCTCCAGCCTTTATATTTATACGTCAGTGTTTATAAAATATTTTAATGTTTTCTAGGACCTTTGGAAGTACAAAGTATTAAAGAAGCTTTAATATAGAATAAATGTTAAAATGCTGATGCCCAGTGCTACCAGGTCATTCAATGTATCTTTAATCTACATTAACTACACTGATTGTCATTGCACACCCATCTCCACTTACAGACTTTCTGGTTAAATTTTTAAGTACATTGAGAGAGAAGCAGACAGAGGTAGAGAGCTAAGGGGGTCCACAGAGAAGAAAATACATTTTTGTATTACCTGTGAGCTTGTTTCAGATGGTTTTGAGTCCAGAATACGCGTTGAAAAATAATTGCATGTGTTGTTCTTATATACAGTACATCACTTCAGCAAAACATCCAAATACCACCTGTAACTGGATCAGATCATGAAAATGCCCAGGGAAAAGTATTGCCAGGTGATATAATTCTGACCACCAAACACAACATCACTGATGTAGAATTGTTATACCAAGAGCTGCAAAGGATATTCCATGAGGAAATCATTTTTTATAACAGGGAAAAAAACAATATTATTGTAATTACGAAGCACATACAAAGTTTGTATAACGTAAACATACACAAAGTATGTATATACAGTATAACATAACAAAGTTTGAGTAGAGACCTGAGTCAGTGTGTTCTAGCTGCCTAGGAACAAGTGAAGAGTCATCCAACACTGAAAGAAAAGACACAATGTTTCAGCTTTTAATAAATAATCTAAAGATCACTTGCTACCTAACCTAACCTAAACCCCCAAATTTGTAACTCCAAAAACCAAAATCCTGCCTTTTCTGTACTTCTTTTGCTTAGTTTAGAACTTTATTTTTCCTCAGCTTGAGGTATTATACTGTATGTTGTTCATTTTTTCACAATTGGGAGAAATATTAATTTATCTGCTCTAACAATATACATTTATTGTTTTCAAGACTTATTTTTTTCTTCTCTGTCTCTGACTATCAAATATCCTTTTTTAAAAAAAGTGTTTGTATTTCATTACAATGTGTAATTTTAGTGTAGTGACTAGCATTGCTGCCTCACAGCTCTGTGGCTCTGCGTTCAATTCTTAGAGTATGATCTATGTGAAGTTTGTATGTTCTCCCTGTGTTCACTTGGGATTCTCCCACTGTCCAAATAAATACTGGCCGGTTCATTGCCTGCTGGAAAAAATGGCCCTGGTGTGTGTGTGCATGCTTGTGTTTGCATCATGTGGGCCCTGAAATGAACAGATGCCCCATCCAGGAAGTATCCTGCCTTGTTCCCGTTGCTTTCCAGAATAGGATCTGGCTCCCATGTGAACCTATATTGGAAATAGTGGTAAAAAAAATGGGTGGATGTATTTCATTATATTGTACTTTCTCACTCAAAAAGGGCTTATAAGCTGAGGATATCCTCCTCTAGAGGGTGCTACAACCCTTTTCTGTTATGATTAGGTTAAGTTATTTCCCGGTGTGTTTCATTTGTATTTTGGTTTAAAAGCCTAGCGTCTCTGCAGTTCCTGGCTCAGCATTGTGAGATGGACGCCCGGAAGCCCGCCTGCCAGCGGGTCCAGAAGAGACCCGACGGCATAGGCTTCACCCTGGCGTCCTGACCTGCTGAGTCCAGGGCTCTGAGTGCCTAGTCCCGTTATTGTTTTAGTTCTCTGTGCTCCCGGTCTCGGTTCCTCTTCCCGGGGATTTTAAGTGTCTTCGTCTTGGATAGATCATCCGGCCTTTGGATTACGGACTGTGCCCTGATTACTCTTTTTGGACGTGTTTGGACTTGGTCGTCTCCCCCCTGTCTGTCAACCCATCCTAACTCTGCTGTATCTTCTCCTGATGTCCTTCTCCAGATTCTGCCGGATTATAACATCTGCATAGGGTCTTTAACAATGCACTTCATGGGAGTCTCTCCCGGCTCCCATGACATATCCGTTAACATTCCCATACTTTCCCAGAGTTTTGTGGTTCCATTTTAATAATATCTATCACAATCTGAATGCCACAGTCCAGGAAATATCTGGATCTTGTTTGCAATGTTACTGAAGACCCTTTTTTTTTGATCATGGTTTATACGTCTTGGCAAAGGTTATCAAAATGTAATTCTTCACACAATAGTGCTGAAATCCATCTTTGTTGATTCTGTTAATATAAAATTGTAGAGTGGAATTCAGTTCAGCAGCTGCTGAGGTTTAATTAGGTGTCAATGTTCAGCTTTCATTCATACTGTAATATCACCAGAAACTGGGTATCTAAGAAATCTGAATAATGATAAAAACAAAGGGATGCAAGCTGTTTTTACACCAGTGAAAATTTTATTGATAGACATTAGTGTAATTTTACATGTAACATCACCTCTTCACAATATTAATATTATTATCTTTCCTGTACATTGTCATCAGTGGAAGCCAACAACATTCTGTCCATTTAACAATTTTTCACTCACCATTCTTGTCAAGAAGTGCAGACTGAAGTCCTTGACAAAAATGAGGCTGGTTACAAGAGTTTGTGTTATTAAAAAGATGAAAACAACTTAATAATGAAAATGTTCTTGAAGAAAATGCAAGAAAAAATAGAAAAATTAACATTAATAAACATTAATAAAATGTTTTTCTGAATTTATTTTCCTTGCAAATATTTGTAAATTTACATATTTTTTAATATATAATAATTTTGTAATGTTGTTCTTATTTTTGTTGTTCTTATTCCATAAATAATTGGATTGAGGAGAGGTGGAAATATCAAGAAATACAGTGATAGTGCTACATGAACTTCACTGTATGAATCAATGTGACTCATATTAAGTCTACTTTGAATTACTTCAAGGAGACATCCCACTGAAAAGTTTACCAGGGACATTATATGGGTGATGCAGGTACTATATCGGGACTAAGCAGATCTTAATCCTTTTTGTATGAGAATAAAAAATGCAGAGAAAAGGCAGAGCTACAGAGACATGCCAAACATCCCATAAATGTGATTAACAGTAGTATCAGTGCAGGCAGGTTTGATAACTGATAGTTATCACAATAAACCTTTTCTGTGATCTTCACACACACTCTAGTACGTCATTTTAACAAAATGAAATGCAAAAAAATTAAAGGAGACAGTGCTGTATAATCCTAAATAATTTATTTAGTTGAGAAAACAAAGATGGAATCCAGAATATGGATCTGAGAAAGTTAATTATGATTATTATTAAGATGAAAAACTGTTGATTACTTCACACCTACATTGCACAGGAACTAGTGAACTTTTATACTCCACTGTATCAGATAAACACAATAAGCATATTGCACTGTATCTCAGTCAATCACACATTATCTGAAGAAAATACAGTATATTTATGACAGTAATGTCAAAGTAATAGTGTGCAGTAACAAATTACCAAGGTCTTTTTGGCCCTGGGAGGTTTTCCATTACAGAAACAAGAGACTGAGAGAATCCCACTCTCTGTTTTCATGGTTGTACCATGGATTCAGCACAGTGCTTGAGGTCTCTGTATTCTAAACTAAATACATTCACAATAATGTACTGTAGAACAATTGTTAAAAAGTCATAGGTCAATCATAAACTAACTTAAAAGCATTGGATCACCTGGTGGTGACTGAAATATAAAACAATATTAAATCTTGTAGTCACGTCTCAATCTTCAATCTCAGCATTTCTGTGCTGAAAGTAAAAAGCATACAGGCTGAAGCCAAGGAGGTGTGACATGGCCAGTATCTCCTGGGAAAGCCAAGGCTGTGGCTGCAAGAGGTGTTAGTAAAACCAGTAGGGGGCGCTCATCCTGTGGTGTGTGTGGGTCCTAATGTCCCAGTATATGGATATGGACGCTTTTCTGTAAAAAAAAGGTGGCGAACTTCAGAATAAATGTAAAACCGATCTCCTGGCCCTCCGTGGTCCTTAAAAATCCCAGGGCATTTCTTGGAAAGTATGGTAAAAATATGGTGCTCTGAGTCTCCAGAACCCTAGCATTGTAAGAGGTACAGTATAAGAGCAGTGGGTATGGAAAAAGCAGATAAGTCATCACTAACTTTATTTAAAACAGATATCAGCTGTGTACCGGAGAAGAAATAACGCTCAAGTTGCCTCATTTTTTCTCACACTTGGAGAAAGGAATAAAAAAACAGTATTTCGCTCAATTTATTTTACATTTAGATAGTTGTACTGTCTGACTGAGGGGCAAATGTTCTCATGCATAAGACCTTTTTAAACGTTGCTCTTATTTTTGTTATTCTCACCCCATAAATAACAGGATTGAGGAAAGGTGGGCATATTAAGAAGTACAGTCTCAATGACGGGCTAATATTCTAAAGCTTAAATCTCAATTTTTTAAATGTTGTTCTTATTGTTGTTATTCTTAGTCCGTAAATAATTGGATTCAGCAGAGGTGGAAATATCAAGAAGTACAGTGATAGTGCTACACGAACCTCATTGGGAATGTGACTCATATTAAATCTGTTTTTAATTATTTCTAAGAGACATCCAATTGAAAAGTTTACAAGAGATACTAAATGGGTGCTGCAGGTATTGAAAGCTTTAATCTGGGATTGTCTGGGTGAATTTAAGCAGATCTTAAGAATTTTTGCATAGGAATAGAAAATTAGGAGCAAAGGCAGACCTATAGAAAAAAAGGTACCAACCAGGCCATAAATATTATTAACATTAGTGTCAGTACAGGCAAGCTTGACTAGTGAATAGTTATCACAATAAACCTTCTCTATGATGTTACCACATAATGGTAGGCGCACAGTAAGGGTGAGATTGATCGCAAATCTAACCATAGAGAAGAGCCAGATAAATATAAGAAACACACATGCTTTGTTAAGAGTCATGATTCTGTTGTAGTGCAACGGGTAACAGATGGACACATACCTGTCATATGACATCACGGCTAAATCTGAAAACTCAATAGATCCATATGTGTTCAAGCAAAAAATCTGCATAATGCATTGAAATTTAGAAACTTCGTGGAAATCTGACAAAATGTTGACTAAAAGTGAAGGGAAGAGAACTGTGCTTCCATACAATTCATTTGCAGACAGAGCACACAAAAAGAAATACATGGGCTCATGCAGGGTCCTCTCCACTGAGATCACGGCTATAAGAAGTGAGTTGGCCACAATAATGCCAACATACAATACCAGTGTAATGGTGAAGTAGAAGTATCTAATCTGTCCAATCTCTCCATATGCAGCCAGTATGAATGATTTGATGTGAGACGAGTTCTCCATGGTCTTCAGCTTTGAGTGTACTGCTGTCTGAGGAAGAGAAAAGTTTATTTTTGCAATGGAGAAATTTCAAATAGCTTCATGCTGCATACAGTAAGGGCAATCCTGATGCAGCTGGATGTTTATTCAGCTTCAGTCCTGTGCAACTCTTTCAGCTGTTATTCTGTCAATTTTCTTTATTTTATTTCCATATTGCAAAATTCACCAGTACACAGTAGCTTTTGATGCACTGTGACATTATGCCTGTATCAGATAAATGGTTCTATCACACAGTCTCACATTATTTAGCATGCAGGTCACAAACTTGAAAAGAAGCTATAAGGAGTGATGATTCCTATCAGTACTAACTGTAAAATACATAGACTAGGATGGAGACTGAAGAAGGAAGGTATGAGAGTAGATAGAGAAGGAAAGAGCACCATTTACATTTACCTGTGAGCCTGTTGGATGTGAAGATTTTGTGTCCAGAATGCACTTTGGAAAACATTTCCATGTATAGATTTTATATACTGTACATACAGTACTGTCTGGACAGCAAACACCAAAGTAATTGGTTTGGATCTTGTAAAAGTCAAGAGAGACATGTTGCTAGGAGATAATAATGTTGACCACTAAACAAACAAAGTACATACTGTAGATGAAGGAAAACTGTTTTGCCCAAAGCAGCCATCCGGATATTCCATTAGGAAATGACAGAAATCATTTCAGAAAAAAAACAAGACTGCTGCAATAATGAAATCACCAAGCTAACTGGCTTGTCTGCAAAGGTAGATTCTCCAAAGACCAATCATGTACCACATTATTGTACACTGAAGGTACTTTTAGAAAAAACAATGTTATATTGGACTGTCATATTAGGGGTCATTTAGTTATAGATTATTTATTTTTTAAATGAGGTGTATAGTCAAAAATGTTTATGATCCACATCGAAGGGTATTGAAAGGAACTCCATGCACATTTTATCTAATCCGGTATTTGCCTCATCTGTGTCTTTTAAGTTAATGAGAGACGATCGCCCATGATCTTGAGGGTTATCTAATGAATAAATGGTATATATTTTATCTATTTATCATGGGAAACAGGATATAACATTTCATATTAGAAATAAAAATTCAAAATGAAATATTATTAATAGATATATGTTATATTTAATTATATAAAAAAATTAACAATATGTGTTTTCTTTATCAGATTGGTTGGAAATGTGTTGATGATGCAGTTTAGTTTCAATTTAAAAAACTGAACTAATTGAAAAAAAAATGTCCATCTTCAGACCACATGTCTTGATGGGACTGTCTGAAAAAAAGCAGCAGCTGGGGAACATTTTTCATTGTAAACCTGATTGAAAGGCCAAGCACCAAACAGGATTATTTGGATTCACCATGTTACAGTATACACCAGCTACACTTTATTACACTGCAAATCCCAACTGTTAACCCACTGAAGCTAAGGAGGTGTGCTGGCCAGCAACTGGATGGGAGATCTCCCGGGAAAGCTAAGATTGCTGGTGGAAGAGGTGTTAGTGGGACTAGTACTGTAGGTGTGTATACACCCAGCAGCCAGTGGGTTCTGCCCAAGTATTGTGATGGGACACTATACTGTAAAAAATGATGAGATGTAAATCCTGACTCTCTGTGGACTTAAAATTTCCCAGGGAATTTTTGGAAAAGATTAGGAGTGTAACCCCGGTGTTCTGGCCAGATTTACCCCTGGCCTTATCGCTTATTGACTCCTGATAATCCCTATCTATGAACTGGCTTCATCCCACTGTTCTCCTCCCCAGCTGGTAGCTGGTGTGTGGGGAGCGTACTGGCGTACTTTGGCTGACATTTCATCATCAAGATGGGGCTACATTGGTGGTGGAGGAAAGTCCTAATTACCTGTAAAGTGCTTTGACTACAGTGTCCACAGAAGTGCTATATACTGTAAATTTAAGGAATTTTTGACATACTGTGATATACTGTATATGATTATAAGAATTGTGAGTGTACTGTAGTTTATACATCTGGCTGAGTAAAAAAAAGTTAAAGCTTTGGTTTGACTAGGATTTGAACCTTGTTCTGTGCGGTACTGCTAATACAATAATCAGGATTGATGTGCATTCTGAGTGGCTGCATATGTACCTACAGTATATTTCTGTGTAGGAACAATGTACAGTACTTTTTCTCATTGCACAACCTATTCTTTGAACAGAATAAACCTCTTTCTGGTTTAGTTTTCTCTCCTTTGTTGTTTGAAGTAGCAAAATGGAAGCTTGTGTGACAGAGCCATCAACGTACTATACATAGTTTTATTTGGATATGAAGAGTTTAATACTTGAAATACTGTAACACTCCCTTCTGTTGCTCTTTTGGTTAATCTTAATGATTTAGTCATTCATTTTTTCCCTGTCAGAACAGACAGGCCTTGTTTAGGCATTGCAAAGAGGTCTGAATGGTACACAGACGAAGCAACATCTTCAATGTTGTGCTGTGATTAGTGAATCATATGTTTTAGTTGATATGTCAGATGGCTTATACTGATCTTAAATCAGTATGTCATTTGTAATTGCCATCCTACTGTACAATTTCTGTATTTAGAGAGTTTTGGATTATTTTTCCACTTGTCATTTTTCATTGAGAGGATAATATTGTCGAACGTCAGTCTTTTTTTATATATTGTTCATTTCTCACTTGAAAATGAGGCAAGACATGTTAGATCTGTTTTCAAATATCTATTTTCAAATATTTTGAGAAAACAGCTGCAAATTCACAGAAATGTTTAAAAGTGCTGCTCAATTGGTACTACAGGAATTCAAAATGTTAAAATGGAGATCCTTTGAAACTTTAAGCAAATAATGCAATATTCATAGGAATGGTAAGAAGAACATTTCCCCTAGGGGATAATAAAGTTTGAATTAAGTTGAGTTAAGAATAGAATTAATGTGAACAAACCACATTTAGCAGCAAGCATGGGGCACTATTGTGCGGGATGCAGAGAATAAATGTAAATACAGGTACAGTATATACAGTAACACAGTGGAAATTATTGTTTTTACAGCAGCGATAATTTTATTGACAGCTATCAGTGGCATCAGACATCTTACATCATGTGACATCACCTCTGTACAAATTAGGCGACATAGCCTATTCACAAAGAAGCATTTGGACATGACTGCCTGGGGAACTGTTCACATTCTGATATATGTTTTTCTTGTACATTTTCAATAGCAACTCGTACGACATACTGTCCTCATAGTATTGTGATTAGTTGACAAGAAAGAAACGTGCAGGCTAAAGGGAGAGGCACTACTTGTCATAAGTGCTGTAGTATACTAGACATCGTCTTTAAAAAGAGGAAACAATTGAACTATTCAGGTATTAAATTCCATTCTTGTAATAATGCGTTTCTCACTGTAGGCAAAAACATTTTTCATGTTGTAATGTCTCTTCTATCTCATTTGATCTCCAACACCTACATTTGGAAACATCAACGCAATCCGCATCTTTTATTCTTTTAGATCCTCATTTGCATGTGTGACTCTAGTCCTCACCCCTAAGGTCTGCCTAGCATCTCCTCAAGACTCACCTAATGTATTCAGACGGCACCTATGACCCTTCACCTTTACTGGACAGACCAACTTCTTCCACTGAACAAGAATCCTGTTCAGTGCTTTCTCTCACTCCTGACTAAGCCTCGTTCATATCTTGGATTTATTTTGAAATGTTAATAATTGATTGGATTATTTACAGCATGTTGGATCATTATTGGATAATTATCATTTAAATTACAGTGTGGAAGCTTCCATGCACAGAACAGTATTGTATTTGATCAGTATTGTTGTTTTCAAATTGTTTTCATTCATATATGGATATTTCTTTTAATGTAAGTAAGTTAAAAGAACCTCAGATCAGCCCAGTTTCTACTCAAATAAGAAATTACAACATGGTGATGATAACGTTTTTCTGTCATCTTTTTACAATTCTGTTCATATTTCATGTTTTGCTATTGTAAGAGCGAGGACCTAATTTTCTTGTGTATAATAATTTTTGTAAATGTTGTTCTTATTTTTGATATTCTTACTCCATAAACGATTGGATTGAGCAGTGGAGGAAGAATCAAGAAATACACTGATAGCAGGATACGAGCCTCATAGGGAATTTTACTCATATTAAATCTGCTTTGAATTATTTCAAAGAGACATCCAACTGAAAAATTTACCAGGCATACTAAATGAGAGCTGCAGGTGTTCAGAGCCTTCACCTGGGATTCTCTGGAAGATTTTAAGCAAATCCTAAGAATCTTTGCATATGAATAAAAAATGAGAAATAAAGGCAGACCTACAGACAGAAACATAGTGAGGAGCCCTAAAACGCTATTAACAGTAGTATCTGTACAGGCAAGTCTGAAAAGGGAATAGCTGTCGCAATAAACCTTCTCTACAATGTTGCCACACAAAGGCAGACGTGCTATTAGTAATACAGTGACGGCAAATCTAGCCAGAATAAAAACCCAGATAAGCATAAGAAATGCACATGCTTTTGTAGGAGTCATGATTCTGCTGTAGTGCAATGGGTAACAGATGGACACATACCTGTCATAAGCCATTACAGCTAAGTCTGAAAACTCGATAGATCCATACGTGTGCAAGCAAAAAATCTGAAGGAAGCAGTTCAGTTTAGAAATTTCCTGTATGTCTTTCAAAATGTTGACTAAAAGTGAAGGGAAGAGAGCTGTGCTTCCATACAATTCATTTGCAGACAGAGCACACAAAAAGAAATACATGGGCTCATGCAGGGTCCTCTCCACTGAGATCACTGCTATAAGAAGTGAGTTTGCAACAATGATGGCACCATATACTACTAGAGTAATGGTGAAGTAGAAGTATCTAATCTGTCCAATCTCTCCAAATGCAGCCAGTATGAACGAAGTGATGTGAGATGAGTTCTCCATTCCTTCAGCTTTGAGTCCGCTGCTGTATGTGGAACAGAAAAGTTGGTTAGAATGGATTAAATTTTAGCAAGCTGCATGTTATAAGTAACCACTAAGATATCATTTATTAAAGCCATATGTAAGCTCAAATATTTGATTAAACTGAATGTTACTGTTTCATAAAAGCTTAAACCATGTCTATGTACAGTATAACTCAGTATGACTCAAAATTCTCTTAGAAGATTACGAAGATGATAAATGAAATTAAAGATATACATTTTAGTGGCCAATGATTCATTTCACAAAGAAAAAGAAATGAAACGGTGCTTCATCATTTCAAAGAAACATATTTAAATGTAGTTTTTTAAAAATCATACAGCACTGAAAAGAAACATTTACATCTGACAATGTCAGTTGTCTTACAGTAAGTCTCCCATTAATATATAGACAAGACCAAGCTAAATTTAACTCAATTGTTTAGCTAAAGTATCATTGAAGAAATCAGTTAATTTATTGACCCTTTCTTCTATAGAGATTTTGTGCCACTGCAATTCATATTTCGATTAATTAATTCACATTTCGATTAAGTACTGCATTAATTAATTGCAGTACTATGACTATATACAAGTGATCTTACAACTTTGCATTCTTTTTCTAGCTATTAAACAGGTTAAACAGATGCACAATACAAAGATGTTTCTAAACTCTAGAAACAAGAGAGAAATAGTTTTTTAATTGACATTTTTATTCTTCTGCTGTGATGATTACTAAGTCCATCTTTTTATTGAGTTTTTTATTAACTATGCGAAAACAAAAGTCAAGTAACTTTATATGATATAATAATTTATAACATATAATAAATGTGAAAACTCCTATGTCCTACAGTACCAGTACAGTGCAGTGCCTAATCTAGTCTAGTCACGCTTAACAGATTCATAGTCATAGATTTTCTTTGCTAATTGTAAAAGTACACAGACTGAGAGAGAGGCAGAAACAAAGGGAGACAGATATGAGTGTAGACAAAGAACTGAACAGTACCATTTCAATTACCTGAGAGCCTGTTGGAGGAGCAGGTTTTGTGTCTAGAATATTCATATTTTCATGTGTTGTACTTATATATTTCATTTATGTAAAAAAAAAAAAACACCAGCTTGTTTGGATCTTGAAAATGTCCAGGGAAACTTATTACTAGGTGACATAATGATGTGCATTAAACACAGCACCACTGAGGGGAAACTGTTTCACCCATAGCTGTCAAGCCTATCCCATTAGTAAACCAGTAATCATTTCAGAATAGAAAAAGTAAACAAGACAACCGTGAATCTGAATTTACCAAACTGATCGCTTGTCTGCATATTTCCATATGAAGAAAATGTATACCTTTTCACAACATTATTGCATACAGAAGTATTAACTACATGCTTAACAAAAAAATTGATTCACTGACATACAGTATGAGGGCATATTAGGGCTAATTTGTCCATGAATGCATTCAGTCCAAAAGAAATGAGATATAGAGACGGAAATGCTTATAATATACTTATAATATACAGAAGAATTGCAGAGCTCCTACTCTTGATCTCACCCAAATACATATGCCATTAAAATATGCTCCTTTACTAAATTAAAATGGATACTAATAGGAGTGAATGTTCTAAAAATCCTGAAGACCTTGAGGATTACATTGACAATTTCTACAGAGTTGTGAGTGAACACGAACGTGAAGCTAAATGCTTGCATTGGGACATACTGACACAGGTTCAAGTGAGTCTGATGAGGGGCCAAGCCATGTCTGCAGTGTTTCTGTTTGAAAAGGTGACTTCTACATCTGAAATGTTTAAATCATACCTCAATGCCGAGCTCTTCCGTGACTCCAAATTACAACTTGGCTGTGAGGAAAAAGTAATTCACCTTAGGATATCATTTTGCTGCTACCAAGTTTGCTAAAAAGCATGCCCATGTTGAGATGACTAGTTAATTTTTTTCTCCGCCCTCATGTCCATATATATTTTTATCACTTTCCTTTGGTTTAATGAGAGTGGGATAAAGTAAATGGTAAAGAGCCACATTGAAAATTCTGAGAGGTAATTCAGGTGGGGGGAGGGGATGAGGAATTTGCAGGATGACACACTCTGGGTCATAGGGCTAATAGCTATTGTTATAATGGTTACTATGCAATGACTAGTCTCTTCCATTCATATTTAGTGTTGAGGTGGATGATTGTCATTGTGACAGGGAATGTGCAAGGTGCCAAAGATGCAAGAAACCCATTTAAAATCGATAGGCTGTCACTAAACTATATCTGCCAACATTAGGTAGTTCAGGCTTATGGTAATTCATAAAAGAGAGGTGGGTCACCATTTTAATTTGCACAAGAAAGGATTATTCTTTAAGCAGCTATTTCTTTAATAGATGTAATATGTTGCCTAAAAAATGCAGATGGCTTCACTGCCGGGTTTTATCAGCATGGGACGTATGAGTTTATTATATATCAATATTTCTTATCTGTTCAGTTTTACAGCTTAGTCCTCATCTGTAACAGGCAATTAATAATCTATCTATCATTCAGTGAATCTTTAATGACATTAATAAATAAAAGGGGGAAAGATTACTTTTATTTGGGACTGTAGCTATCGTCCAATGAGTTTAATGAACGTGGATAATAAGATTCTGGCAAAGGCAATGGCAATCCAACTACAGTATGTAAACCTCTGCCAAAGCTAATACTGTACATCCAAGATCAAACAAGATCTATGAAAAATAGTCTTTAGACAATACAAGAAAACTCCTTAATCTGAAAGTTTCACCATGGTAATTGTACTAACCCACTACCTGCTATTTGAACATTTGATGCAGAAAAAGCTTTCCATAAAACTGAATGTACTGGAATTGTATGGATCTGTTCCTAATTTTACTAAATGGTTTTAAATTTCACTGTACAGTATATGGTAGGCTACAACCATCAATGATGATTAACCAATGCATCTAAAGTTATTTTAATTTGCATAGTCGTACTAAACAGAAATTCCTCACTTTTGCTTTTCAATTTAGCCATAAAGCACTTATTGTAGCTTTCAAAAGTGCAGATTAAAGGTACAGAGGTACAGTATATCAGAAAACTTGCATCATTTAAAGTGGAAGACGTAATATTATATCTTTCAGTTCTGCAAAGTCCTTTTCAGTTGTAGTGAATATCATTAACAGTTTTGGTAAATTATCTGCATATAAGGTTACCTGGGATAAGTCAGAATTTCTTCCTTTCAATTTTTCACATTTCAATAGTAGTTTTGTATATCCAGTGCAACTTAAAAAGGAGATACTCCACCTTAGGTTGCAAATAAAATCTATTATTACTGGAACTAGAGATTTTATCCTTAAGGAAATATTAAATTGCATTAAATCTTATGCAGCTAGATGGAGGTATCTGCCTATACGTATCACCTTACGGGGCCCCATACCATCATTTTAATCAATTAAATATGATCAAATTAATTAAAATGATGATACTCCCAAAAGTAAATTACATTCTGAGAATGATGCCAGTAGTGATTAATAAAATGTTTTGATGCAGTATATAAAATAATGATGTCCTTTATTTGGTTAAGAAAAAAGTTGTAATTAATTTGATGCTCATTTGAGAGACTAAGCACAACAACAAGCAAAAGTGGACTCAATTTTCCTAACTTTTATCATTTTTATCTAGCCTTCAGCTCATTGCAGTAAGGTAAGGTTTCAATCCAGGTTTGATAACAGACAAGGTAATAATTGAAAAAGACACACCCAATGCAATAGGCATTAACGTAGAAAGCCTGTAGTATGTATGCCCAGCAGTTTCTAATGATACACCTATTGACCTACCATTTAAAAATTTTAGTTGTAATAAAAGTACAACAGACAGATTTCTTTTAATGCATCTTTGTGTTTTAATCAACCACTATTTAGATCTCCAAAGTTCACAAATAAGCATAAAAACAATTATAAAGAGGTTTATGTGGTCCTGAATTTTTATACTGTGTCAAATAACATGTATGCTACTGTACCTTCAGTATATACACTTGTGCTTCATAACCAGAGAGCAGAGAGATCACAGGTGCTGTAAATGTGAACAACGAGAGTGGAAAACAGAGGAGAAGAGAGAACAGCAAGGAGCAGTCATAAAGGGAGAGTTAAGAGACTGAAGATGGGCAGGGAAGGAGTGATTGGGATGGTAACAGGAAGGAATTAGAATGAGATCCAGGCAGCAATTGCGAACACGTGGAAGGACTGGAGCAACGGAGCAGAACAAGGAAAGGGAGGAACAGGAGGGGGAGGCTGAGCAGCAGAATTTGGGATGGGTTTGAGATTTAGATACAGTAGCATTTGCAGGGGGCCTAGTCACGTGGGTGATACTACCTGCAAAAGGCAGATTTTTCAAATGTTGCTGAAGTTTCAACAGGTGCATACAAGAGAGGAAGAAAACGGTGTTGGATATTGTATCAGTGTGAAATAACAATATTGTGTTTAGCACAATCATTTAGTTGTATTGTACAGTCTCAATGACGGGCTAATATTCTAAAGCTTAAATCTCAATTTTTTAAATGTTGTTCTTATTGTTGTAATTCTTAGTCCGTAAATAATTGGATTCAGCAGAGGTGGAAATATCAAGAAGTACAGTGATAGTGCTACACGAACTTCACTGGGAATGTGACTCATATTAAGTCTACTTTGAATTACTTCAAGGAGACATCCCACTGAAAAGTTTACCAGGGATACTATATGGGTGATGCAGGTATTAAAAGCTTTAATCTGGGATTGTCTGGGTGAATTTAAGCAGATCCTCAGAATTTCTGTATAAGAATAAAAAATTAATAACAAATGCAGACCTACAGACAGAAACAAAGTGAATAACCCATAAATATTATTAACAGTAGTGTCAGTACAGGCAAGCTTGACTATTGAATAGTTATCACAATAAACCTTCTCTATGATGTTACCACATAGTGGTAGGCGTACACTCAGGGTGAGAGTGATGGCAAATCTAACCATAGAGAAGAACCAAATAAATATAAGAAACACACATGCTTTGTCAAGAGTCATGATTCTGTTGTAGTCCAATGGGTAACAGATGGACACATACCTGTCATAAGACATCACAGCTAAATTTGAAAACTCTATAGATCCATATGTGTGCAAGCAGAAAATTTGAATAAAACAGTTCACTTTTGAAATTTCCTGTACGTCTGACAAAATGTTGACTAAAAGTGAAGGGAAGAGAGCTGTGCTTCCATACAATTCATTTGCAGACAGAGCACACAAAAATAAATACATGGGCTCATGCAGGGTCCTCTCCACTGAGATCACGGCTATAAGAAATGAGTTTGCAACAATAATGCCAACATACAATATTAGTGTAATAGTGAAGCAGAAGTATCTAATCCGCCCAGTTCCTCCATATGCAGACAGTATGAATGATGTGTTGTGAGATGAGTTCTCCATGATCTTCAGACTTGAGTCCGCTGCTGTGAGAGAAACAGAAAAGTTTATTTCAATGGAACATGTTCATTAAGCTGCATGGGTGTTCAAAAATCATATGCTGCCGCCTTCCTTATTTTGATTCAATTGAATGTACCACGGATGTCGGAAGGGACGAACCGTGGAATGGCAGGAGAGCAAAATATGTGTAGTGGCGAGATGGGGGTTAGCCCGGGATCAGCTGTTCAGGAAATGCCGTATAGAAACCTATGCCCTCAAGCCATGGACAGGAGCGACCTGGTGCTAGGCGGGTCTCAGGACATCTGAACCTCGATGCTGAGCGAGGAGCAGAGCAGAAGCAAGAAGTAAATAGGCTACACAACAAGACACACCAGAAAGACACTAGAAACAGGAGAGAAGTACAGCGCCCTCTAGGTGTACTGGGTGTGACAGAATGTAGCTGTTTTGTGCAATCCTACAACATGTCTACAGTACTGTATGTAATAATGACTCAGAATCATATTATTTAATTTAAATAAAAAGCATAGATAATCTATGACAACTAAATATTAAAGATATATTAAAACAATTAAAGACATGTATCTTGCTGGACAATGACTCATTTAAAAAATACAATATAAAGAGGTGTTCCATCATTTCAAAGTAAGAAATCTAAACATATCTTCTGAGAAACATAGAAATAAAAAGAAACATTTAACAAAGACAGTTATCTCCCGTTAATGTACAGACAAGGCAAAGTTACTGTAAATGTAACAAAATGATTTAGTTGAACTATCATTAAAGAATTCATTTAATATATACCTTAGCTCCTACAAAGATCTTGTGTCACTGATACTCACATAATGATCAAATAACAATGTCAATATGTTTAATGAACTTCAACACTGAGAGTGTATACAGTATAAGTCATCTTAAATTCACATCCTTTCCCTTGCCGATGATGAAGCTATTAAGCAGGTGAAACAAATGTACAAAGAACTCCAGATTGAAGACTCAAATACTTCTTAAATTGTATGTTTTATACTTCTACTGTGATGTTTTAGTCTTTTTTATTGGGTTTTCTACTAACTTTGATTTAAAAAGTTATGTAATAGTGATATAGAATAAATATGAAAAATCCTTTGTCCTACAGTACAAGGTAATTCAATGAAATTTTATTCTACATTTACTATACCTTTAGTCAGAAACAGAGGGAAGGAGTTTAAAATAGTAGCCTGATAAGAGAACATTACCTGTGAGGCTGTTGGAGGAGAAGGTTTTGTATCTACTGTAGTATGTACTCTGAACAATATTTGTGTGTGTTGTGCTTTATATACTTCATTTCTGGGCTAAAAAACACAGACTGTAATTAGTTCGGTACTTGAAAATGTCCAGGGAAATGTATTGCCAGGTGACATAATGATGAACATTAAACACAACATCACAGAAGGAAAACTGTCTTACCTAGAGCTGCCAAGAATATTGCATTAGGAAACTACTCATAATTTATTTAAGAAAATCAGAAAACAACAAACGAGACTACTGTGATTCTTAAATCACAAAGCTTATTTGTTTTTCAACAAATCTCCATATGAGACAAATATGATCATCTTTACATCATTTTGCACAGTCATATTTGCTATATTATTAATAAAAAAATCATATCAGAGCTTAATTAGCCACGGATGTATAAAAAAAATCCAAAAGAAATGATATGTATAGAAAGTCATGTTTCTAATGCACTTTGTAGAATATTGAAAGAGGCTCCATGAACATTTTATTTAATCCAGTAGTAGCCTCATCTGTCACTTTTGGATTCACTTAGATTTGAACATTTTTTTACTGATGCTTCTTGAATAAAGAACCTTGCGCAAGGCTACAACAGAAAATTAGAGCCTAAACTCTTCAGTTACATGTGCAGAAACTGCATCTCCGCACAGCTTCAACAGATAACAAGTGTAAGAGGGAATGAGCTGCTGCCCCATCACCTGACCCACTTCATGAAGCCAATTCATCAACTGATTCTTTAAAAAAAGACAGGAAGAGAAAGCTTCCTCTGTCGGTCAGTCCAGGATGACCGCTGTTGGAGGGAACAGAAGGCCGAATCCCTGAGTGTGCACCACTCACCAGGGGAGGACTAGCCAAAACTAGCTGTGGAGACCAGCTTCCTCTGCCTTGAGGTGTCAGACATGGCTTTCAGCTGCTGCTGTGTCAGAAACAGATACACTTATTACAATGGAACAGTGCTTCACTAAGATGTAACTGTTTGAATTGAGGGTCATTAAGATAAGAATGATTATTATACTCATTTCAAAGCTTTACAAAATCAACATCTACCTTCCCTGTTTTGATTTAATCCACTGTTTAGTATAATCTAAACTACTGTATGTCTGTCTTGAAATGTAAGATTTGAAACATGTGTTCATTTAAAGTTCTAGTACATGACGCAAACATTTAATTTGAACAAAACGAAATGCAAAACAAAAACTAAAGGAGACAGTGCTGTATCATCTTAAATAATTTATTTAGTTGATAAAACAAAGTTGGAATGCAAAAATATGGATCTCAGAAAGTTTATTGTGATTATTATTAAGATGAAAAAATGTTGATTACTTCACACCTACAGTGCACAGGAATTAGTGAACTTTAATACTCCACTGTATCAGATAAACACAATAAGCATATTGCACTGTATCTCAACGAATCACAGTTTATCAGACAAATACAGTTTATTAATGACAGTAATGTCAAAGTTATAATGTAGCAAGAAAGAAAATTACCAAGGTCTTTTTGGCCATTTGTTTTCCATTTGGGGTACAACGCAGGGAGTGTCTGGTGTGGGGGGCGGAGCCCCGGATTAAGGGAAACGCGTTGCCGTGGAAACCACATCTGACTTAAATGAGTGAATGAACAGCAGGTGTAGAACTGGTTTAAAAGTAGCCTAAATACAGTACTTCCTGGATAAGAGTGGAGGATGTCGCAGGACTTCAGTCTTGCTGTGGCTGCAGTGATTAGAGGAGAAATGTGGAGGCTCTCCTATGAGAGAGCCGGGCTGGAGCAGGACAGTAGCGGGTGTGAGACGCTACTAGTCGGGGCGATGTAAAGAACGAGTGAGCAGAGACTTGATTAGCCGCTGGAGAAGGGGTTGTGAGAGGAATAGCCTGCAAGGAAAAGCGTGAAAGCGTCCGTCTGCGAGGGGACTGACGGAAGAAACGGAGCTTTATGAGATCATCAAAAGATTTAAAGGGGACAGCATCCTGTGCGGTGTGAAAACGGGGCTGGCGTGTCCGCTTTATGAGCAAGTTAGTGTGTGTGGAACAGAGTGGGTTGTGTGGTAGAGGGACCCTCCCCCTAGCAATACATTGGTATCGGGGAAGGGAGTAGGGTCTAGCTACACCCACTGGGAGGTAGTGCAGTGGTGGCTGGGCATGATGTAAGGTGCGCTAGCAGCTGTGAGTTCACAACGAGTGAAACGCCAGAGGGGTTGTGAGTGTGTGTGTTAGAAAGGGACAGTGTGTTGGGTCTTGGCACGGTGTGTAGTGCCGAAGAGACTCGGTGATGTAGGTAGTGTGTGTTTTGTGCAAGCCAACCTGGTGGCGCTGAGAGGAGAGCGTCAAGGGCGGAGGCAGACCTGGGAGTCTGAGGTACTGGTTGAGTGTGAAACGGTGACCTAGTGGAGTAGGAGCAGGAGGCTCCTAGCAGTGAGGACAACAGGGTGAACTTGAGATTCTGAAGTCAAAGGGCTCCAGAAGTAATGTGGAGTCATGTATCCTGTTACCCTGAGGAGGGGGTCAGTGTGAT